AGAAGCAAATATTCTGCCGAGTAAGTGGGAGAGTCCGTGGCTTGAAGAGAGAACAGATTTGGAGTTCGTGCAGTGAGGAGTGCTACATGAAGATGATCAAGGAAGAATAAAAAGATAGCCAAGCCCCAGCAAGGGTCCAGTTAAGATAACACATTTGTATTGGATCTCATCAGCATAAACCCTTTCTGGTTTCTCAGATGTCTGGTTCAAGGAATAGAATGGAGACGTCACTCCCAAGTATAGACTCATAGCATGTGGACTCAACCAACATAAACAGCCAGAAGGCACCAGTGAGAAAAAACAATGGGTGCCCGGAGACGGTAAGCAGAATGTCATTTGTCAGGATTATTGGGTTGGAGATTTCTGTTCTGGTGGGCTCGTTCCCAACTGCTTTGGAACTAAAGAATCTTTTGGCCTAGGCAATCAAGGGCCTGCTGCTGGGACCTAAGGACACTCTAACGTTAAATCAGTATTCATTATTAATCATGCTAGTATCTCTTAATAGCATTTATATAGCAGTGTAAGGTTTACAAAGCACTTTCCATATGTTCTCTCTATGTGCCCAACGTACCGCTAAGCATTCGGAAGCATAGAAAGGTAATAAGAGGCCTTAGCTCTCAAGACATTTATGATCTGGTTAGGGAAGGAAAAATAAACAGTGCACACACACGCAACCACATAATTAAATACAATATTTTAGCTCATAAAATGGAGACTGGTGCAGTCCATGGTAATAATAAAGGCTTCACAGAGGAAGACCTTTGAGATCAAGCAGAGGAAGAGCTGAGTAGAGAGGAAGGGTGTGCCGGTCGCGTGGTGCACTCTCCTCCTATAAGGAGCAGGCTGCCAGGGTCATACTACTTACCAGTCTTCGGTGCCCACCCGGATAAACACAGAGACGAGCTGATCAGGAGGTGCAGACACTCGAGCTTTATTCGGAGGCCATCACAGCAAGGCCAAGCAGGAAAGCCAGAGCAAGAGAGCAGGAACAAGAGAGAGCAAGCTCCGATCCCTACTGTTCCTTAAGTACCTTCCTCGTCCCTCCTCCTCAGCCCACCCACTAGACTCGTTGATTGTAGGATCAGATACCGGAAGGGGATGTCTGGGTTTAGCACTGCACCAAGGGAAAGGATGTGACGCAGGAGGCTAGGACCGGATACAGGAAGGAGACGTCTGGGGTTAGTGCATAGACAAAGGGAGAGTACGTGACACAGGAAGTCAGGCCCAGATACCGGGAGGAGGCGTCTGGGGTCAGTGCTACACAAAGGGAAAGTACGTGACCCAGGAAGTCAGGTTTGGACACAGGAAGGAGAAGTCTGGGGTTAACGTTGCACCTAGGGAGAGGACTAGACAAAGGGAACTCATTCTCTGCTGTCCCACTCCCACGTGGCACAGCCCCCTGCCTCAGGAGCATGTGCTCTGGCTACTTCCTTGTATCCTGTTCCTTCCCCAGCTTATCACAGCTCCACATAGCACAGCCCCTGCCTCGGGAACGTGAGCTCCGGTTATTTCCTAATATCTTGTTCCTACCCCATCTTTCCACAACCCTCACATGGCAGTAGCCAACATCAGACAACTCCTCACAGAAGGGGACCTACATTACTGGTGAGATGAAAAAAGATGAGTAGAACCATGGAAGGGAATGAGCTTCACAGAATGGTCCTCATGATTTTCTGGGCTATTGCAATAGCTTCTTAATTTGACCCCTTACAATGGCCAAATTGATCCTCTTAAAGCACAGGTCTGACTCGGGCACTACCATGCTCGAGAAGCTCCAATGGTTATCCTTTAGGATAAAATAAAAATTCCCGTACTTGGCTTTTAAAGCCATCCACAGACACCTCAGCCTGCCTTTTCAGGCCCATTGTATGTTCTTCTCCACACTCTACCATACAGACCACCTGGCCTGCTCACTGTTCCCTATATATTCTAGCCCCAGTTAACCAGTCTGTATGTCCATTAAGCTGTGGTCTATGCTCACCTCCTCTCTCTTACAACCCCCAATTTCTTTCAAAACTCAGCTAAAGTGCCACTAGGAACCCTATACAAATTCTCCCAGTTGCTACCACCCTTCTCTGGAAATTAGATATTAAAAATATTTCATATTCATTTATCTACATTCACATCAGCTTCAACTCTGCATGTTAACGTTCTCGAGGGGAAGGGCTATCTTGTTTTTGCTGTTATATCCAGTGCACAACACAATGTCATCGTCATTTGCTGAATAAATCTGGGTCCTCAGAATTGAGGCCCCTCTTTACAGAGAGCACTGGTGATTAAAATCACACATCTAGTAAGGTATGTGAAACTAGGAAGTAAAGGTGATACATGATAGAAGAGACAGGAAAAGGTTTATTCATGCATACTTTCTTCAAAACTAAGCTGGAATGAACACAATTCACCAATAGTCCTTTTAATTTTTAAGTTATGTACTGCCCTCATACATGGGTCAGGAACCTTCAGAATTAGTCTTTCCGTAGATTTTGTTCTTACCAACTTGCTGAATCTTTCAATCTTGACTACAGACAGTTCAGGGATCTTATGATTGTGCAATGAATAAACCAACATCTTACAGTGCATACCAAAATAAAGTCAAAATGGGTACAAGATTTAGATATAAAGGCTGATACTATAAACAAACTGGGAGAGCAAGGAATAGTTACCTGGATGATTTATGGATAATGGAAGAAGTTATGGCCAAACAAGAGACAGAGAATATGAAATGCAAAACGGATAATTTTGATTACATTAAATTGAAAAGTTTTTGCACAAAGCCAATGCAATCAAGATTACTATGGAAGCAGAAAACTAGGAAAGAATATTTACAACCAATATCTCTTATAACAGCCTCATTTCTAAAATATATAGAGAATTAAGTCAAATGTATAAGAATAAAAGCCATTCCCCAGTTGATAAATGGTCAAAGGCCATGAACAAGCAGTTCTTAGATGAAGAAATTAAAGCTATCTGTAGTCATATGAAAAAATGCTCTAAATCACTATTAGAGAAATGCAAATCAAAACAACACCTATCAGACTGGCTAACATGACAAAACAGGAAAATGATAAATGCTGGAGAAGATGCGGGAAAATTGGAAGACTAATGCATTGTTGGTGGAGTTGTGAACTGATCTAACCATTCTGGAGACCAATTTGGAACTATGCACAAAGGGTTATAAAAATATGCATACCCTTTGATCCAGCAACACCACTTCTAGGTCTGTATCCCAAAGAGATCATACAAATGGGAAAAAGGACTCACATGTACAACAACATTTATAGCAGCTCTTTCTGTGGTGGCAAAGGACTTGAAATTGAGGGGATGCCCATCAATTGGGGAATGGCTGAACAAGTTGTGGTATATGAATATAATGGAATACTATTGTGCTATAAGAAATGATGAGCAGGTGGACTTCAGAAAACCTGGAAAGACTTATATGATCTGATGCAGAGTGAAGTGAGCAGAGCCAGAACATTGCATAGGAACAGTCACATTATTTGATGACTAACTTTGATAGACTTATCTCTTCTTAGCAATGCAAGGATCTGAGACAACTTCAAAAGACTCATGATGGAAAATGCCATCCATATCCAGAAAAAGAACTATGGAGTCTGAATGCAGATAGAAGCCTATTATTTGCTCTCTTTTTTGGGGGGAGGGTGGGTTCCTTCTTTCTTGTGGTTTCTCCCATTGGTTCTAATTCTTTACAACATGACTAATGTGAAAATAGGTTTAATATGAATGTATATGTGAAGCCTATATCAATTTACACACTGTCTTGGGGTGGGGGGAGGGGAGAGATGGGGAGAAAATTTGGAACTCAAAATCTTATGGAAGTGAATGTTGAAAACTAAAAATAAATATATAAAAAAAAGATGGTGCAAGAACTACTCTACATACTTATATATTGGGAGTAAACCTAATGGTGACAACTTCATGGCAAAAGGGTATAATGAAATATTTATGTTAATTTTCTTTTGAATCTCTTGTAGTGTTGATAGATACATGGGGTAATAAGGAATGGTAGGGAAGTTAGAGGCCAACCATGTGGTGCAGTGCCAGGCTTGTAGTCAGGAAGACCTGAGTTCAAATCTGACCTCACTTACTAGCTATATGACCCTGCGCAAGTCACTTAACCCTATTTGCCTCAGTTTTTTCATTGTGTAAAATGAACCAGAGAAGGAAATGGCAAACCACTCCACTATCCTTGCCAAGAAAACCCCAACAAGGGAAGTTACAGCAAAGCCTTATTTGGGGAGCTACGATACTTCTAAGCAGGGAAATTTTGGTTTAGCAGAGACAGAACTTTTGAAAAGCATGTGACTCTAATGAAAGTAGGAGTGGAGGGGGGGGGATTCAGGTGCTAATGGGTTCTAAGACTTTGTTTCAGTTTGGCAAATCTGCTTTTGCTTCAAACTTACAAATATACAGATATCACTGGGATAAGTGTGTGGGCAAAAAACATCTTCAAGTCCACCCATTTCATGGCTCCATAGTGTCAAGACCACTCCCAGCCATTCTGAGGGTTTCAGGAAAATCACCCCCTAGACGCGTTCCTCATTTCCTCCCAAGAAGCCAACCCCAAATCTCCCAAGACCTTTTGTAGTCCTCAGAATGGTTTATCCTGAATTCCTTCTCTTTCCGTTATAAGAAACAGAATCCCAAAATGTCATCCTTGTTATTCCCCTCCCCCCCCACTGATTGTTTAGTCACATAGAGGAACTGGACTCCAGGATCTTTGAGGGACCCTCTAGATGCTAGCATTTAATAACAGAAAGTACTGCAAGTACAATTACTTGGGCTCTTGAGAGGTAAAGATCTGCTCAGGGTTACATAGGTATTAAGTTATATCCCAGGGATTCAAACCCAGGTCTCCTGATTCCAAGTAGAGTTCACTTCCCACTACATCATGCTACCCAGGCCAAACTTGTAGATGGGCCCGGTCTTACTTATTTTTTTTAAATGACAAACAATATCAGACATTGACACAACCAATTAAATTTGTTTTGCAACTATTTACATTTAAATGAATTTCAATGCAAAGAAGGTCCTAACTTTCCAGTCATTCTCTAGGTCTCCCTCAGGACTCTCACTGTCCATTCTTTTTACATAGTTTAAGTGTACTCCATTTTTCTGGTTCTATTTTTTACAGTTTCACTTACTTCATAAAGGTCTTTTCGGATTTCTCTATTTTGCTCATACTTGTCAGGCTTAATAACATCATCATATTTCACTACATGAATGTAACAGAATGGATTTAACCGCTTCCCTGTTGGTGAACTTTAGGCTGCTTCCATTTTTTTTTTTAACAATTTAAAATAATCTTTCTATGAAAATCTTTGACAATTTTAGATAACATTTTTAAGGTATATTCCCAACCACAGAATTATGACTCAAAGGTAGGATTCTTTTCTTAATTTTTCATGTGAGCTTTCAGATTGCTTTCCCCAAAAAAAGATTCTCCTAGGTGAACAGTCTGAATTCAGACAGGCAGTCTCCATTTTAAACATTACCCAATTTGAGGCAAGAAAGTCACCTTAGCTCATTTCTCTATCATCTTTTATTTGCAATAAGAAGTTTCTGAAGTTTATTTTGTTAAATAGCATTTGAGCGGGTTTACTAGAGAGGCAACAAATGGTAGTGGCAAATGTTAAACCTGGAGTTCGGAAGACGTGGATTCAAATCCTCCCCCTTTATTGCTTTGCAATGATAGGCAAATAAGTTATTTAATCTCTGTGTCTCAGCTTTCTCATTTATAATACAAGAATATCTAGAGTAGCTGCCTCCCAGGTTTGTTTTGAAGCTCAAATGAAATAATGTATGTAAAGTGCATTACAAGCTTTAAAACCCTGTAAGTCAGCTATTAAACAGATTTTATTAAAAATCTCGACGTGTCTCATGAAGAACGACCTACACTTCAAAAATCTTCCCTTTGTCACTGCATTGATAGGGCTTATCTGTAGTATGAATTACCTAATGCTTGTTAAAGGTTAAGCATGCTGAAATTCTTCCTAAATTCATTGCATTCACGGGATTTCTTTTTCCTTGGCCTGATGGTTTTTTCCCCACACTAACAGTATCATAGATAAATGTCTGCAATGAATCATAGTGGTTATCTACAACACCTCTTGTGGGGACTGTAAAACACAAACAAACAAAAAACAAAACCAAAACCCCCAATCCAACCCTCTTTTATAGAAGAAGTAAACCCCAGAATGGTCGATATTTGCCCAAGTGTCACAGGTAGCCAGTAGCAGAGTCAGAATCTGAACCCACATCTTTTGACTCCGAATTCAGCCATCCTTTCGCTACATTCTACATTCATTTCTTTTGTGTAGTCTCTCTCCATTATGAAGTCTCTGATGATGAATGAAAGACGACCCATGAGTGAAGGCTTTCCCACATTCACTGCACTCAAAGCATTTCTCTCCAGTGTGAATCCTCTTATGTTCAGTAAGGTTTCCTCTCTGGCTGAAAGCTTTTCCACATTCATTACATTCGTAGGGTTTCTCTCCAGTATGAATTCTCTGATGATTAATAAAGGTTGTTTTGTGGCTGAAGGCTCTCCCACATTCATTACACTTGTAGGGTTTTTCTCCAGCATGAATTCTCTGATGTTCAGTAAGGTGACCCTTCTTGCTGAAGGCTTTCCCACACTCACTACATTCATAAGGTTTCTCTCCAGTATGAATTCTCTGATGTAGAGTAAGGTTAGAGTTTTTACTAAAGGCTTTTCCACACTCACCACATTTATAGGGTTTCTTTCCAGCATGAATTCTCTGATGTTCATTAAAATGTCCTCTCTGACTGAAAGCTTTTCCACATTCATTACATTTATAAGGTTTCTCTCCAGTATGAATTCTCTGATGGAGAGTAAGATTTGAGTTCTTGCTAAAGGTTTTCCCACATTCACTACACTCATAGGGCTTTTCTCCTGTATGAATTCTCTGATGATAAATAAAGGATGTCCTATGGCTGAACTCTTTCCCACATTCATTACATTTATAGGGCTTATCACCATCATGCATTATTTGATGTTCAGTAAGGTGGCCCCTCTGGCTGAAGGCTTTCCCACATTCGTTACATTCAAAGGGTTTTTCTCCAGTATGAATTCTTTTATGTTCATTAAGGTTTCCTCTCTGGCTGAAGGTTTTCCCACAGTCATTACATTTATAAGGTTTTTCTCCAGCATGAATCCTCTGATGTTCAATAAGGTGTCCTTTCTGGCTAAAAGTTTTCCCACATTCATTACACTCAAAGGGTTTCTCTCCAGTATGAATTCTCTTATGTAGAGTAAGGTTTGATTTCTGGCTAAATGCTTTTCCACATTCATTACATTCAAAGGGTTTTTCTCCAGTATGAATTCTCTGATGAAGAGTAAGGCATGAATTGTTGCTGAAGGTTTTCCCACATTCATTACATTCAAAGCGTTTCTCTCCAGCATGAACTGTTTTATTAAGGTGTATATTCTGGTTGAAAGCTTTCCCATATTCACTATAAGCAAAAGGTTTCTCTTTAGTATTAATCATCTGATATTGAATAAGACCTGAGTGGTAACTAAGAGGCTTAGAAAGATTCTTCCCTAAGATGGTTTTGTTACATTTAATTAGATCTGAAAATTCTTTAATGCTCTTCCCAAGGATATCATAATTATGAAGACTTCTTCCTGTATGAACTCTCTGTTGTGGAACAAGGATTGACCCAAGTTGAAAGCTTCTCCCAAATGTATTATATTCAAGGACACTTGCCTCATTCAGAGTTTTTCTGGGAGCAATTGTTACTTGTTTGGATTGTCTCTCCTGTTTGTCTTTCTGATTCTCTAACATTATATCATGTTTCCAAACTTTTCCCATTCTGGAATTCCAACTACCACCAGCCCCGGCCATTTTTTGTTTAGATGACATTCCCATGAAAATGGCTTTCTTTGGAGCTATGTTCCTGGTTTTACACATAGTCTCCTGACTGACAGAATCTGAAAAACAAAACCAAAAAAAAAAAAATATATCAATATCAACTGTTATATTAGCTAAGAGAAAGGTATTTCATGGTTAAGCTTTAGACTGTCTTCCATCAAGGAAAAAGATGACCAATCTGAAAAGGCAAGGCACTGTTTTTTTGGTTTTTAAAATTCAATTTGTTTTATTTTTTGATCTACATTCTTTGACTCTTCCCTCCATATAAGCTGGGTGACATAATATGTAGGTGGATTTGTAGTAGGTTGCATGTCTTCACTTGAAATGTCTTTAAAGGATTAATGTCAACCTGGAGGTCTATCTTTATTGTTGTACTTCAGGGGTCTATACTTTGGTCCTGTCCTGTTCAAAACTGTCATCAACATCTGTGATAAAAACATAAGATGTATACTGACATATAGGTGTGAAGGACAGCCAATACTTTGGGTGTTTAAAGTAATATTTAAAACATCTCAATAGGCTAGAACAAATAGGAAAAAAAGCAACAAGGTGAAATTTAACAAGGATAAAATGTCAAGTCCTATAGTTCTGTTCAAAATATCAATTATATAAGTACATGCTTGGGGACATCTAGTTTGATGTTCAAAAGACATGGGGTTTTACTTTAACACAGATGAAGGTCATACAAAAAATGTTGTGGGCCCCCCAAAATTAACAAAATTCTATGTCTACATTAACAGATGTATAATGTCCAGAGCATAAAGAGTACTAGCCTCATTGTATTCTATGCTGACTGATTCTACATTAGGCCAAATTGAGAGACCTGTGTCAGATCTTGGTAAAACCATTTTAGAAGACATCAATAAACTGAAGTGTTTCCAAAGAGATTATACCAAAATGTTGAAAGATATGGAAACAACATTTTAAATATTATAAAGAATGATTTCAAGGATTGAAGAGAACTTAGAAAAAAGATTTAAAGACTTGGCCAAAATCGTCAAAGGCTAGAAGAGGTTGAAGGAAATTAAGATTTGAGAAAAGATCCCTAGATATGGATCAAGGGAAGGGAGGCAACATGACTGATCATAAAAGTGCAGACTTAAGACTCAGAAAGCCACAATTACAGCTGACACCAAGATGTGACTGTAACAGTCAAGTCTTTCTGAGTTTCGGGTTCCTTATCCATAAAATAGTGCTAAGAATATTTATACTATTTCACAGAGAAGAAATGCCCTTTGTAAATTTAAGTGCTATGCGGTTTATAAGGTATTACTGATATATACATAAGAAAAATCACTTTGGCAGCTTTGGAGAGGATAGATGAGAATGGGGGTCTCAAGGCAGGGAGACCAATTAGAAGGCCATTGCACTAATACAGACAAGCAGTAATGAGGACCTGAACTAAGGTGATGGTTCTATGAGTAGAACAAAGGGGCTGGATGGGATCCAGCTTACAGGAGAATGGGCTCGAGTCAGAGGAAGAAACACATCCTTCTTTAAGACTAGAAGAAATATGAGGAAGAGCTATCAGGAAAGTTCTTTCTTGAAGCAAAAAACAAGAAATGAGGCTATGCAGCTCATATGGCATCAGGCCTTCTCAATAAGCCTGGAGGCTTCTGAGGACAGCTGACTGTCCAACATTTCAAAGGTGCTGCCTCCTAACCAAACAACATTTTAGTTTACAATGGCTACAGTCTCTCTGGCTTTACTCGTTCACCTGAATGAATGCCTCTGGGTACTTCTCCCTCTGACATCCATGGCACCTCTCCACGTTCCAACAGTAGGATCACCGCTGGCATGGAAACTGGAAGCCCTGCTCAAAGGGAAATAAAGAGGAAAGGGAAGAGGGCAATAATTAGCTAAGAATTCAATTCCAACCTCACCTTCTCTGTTGGGAAAAGAAGGTATGCTAGGAAGGCCCTGCCAGTGGTACAATGGACTTATGAAGAATGTTCTACATTGTATTCCCAGGAAGTCTGGCAAATGATTCACAAAGCAGCCTTGAAACCAGAAAGAAAATTAGTTTGTTTGACCCAATCTCTGCCATGAGAGAAATTTTCATATACTTACATATACTTTCATATACTTCATATACTTTCACACTTCAGAGGAAAATCTTTGACTTATGGGAATAGAGAGTGGGCAAGATATAATCTCAGGGTCAGTACAATGAAGCTGCTGATTTATAATTGTATAAAACAAAGACCTTTCTCCTTCAAACAGAAACACACAATCTCTCGGACCTTAAATTTAGGAATCTTTTCCCATTATGTCTTCTACATACCAAGCCAAAATGTTGGTTAAGCTCTTCAGACTTTAGCAAATGAAGATGCAAAGATGCTCCAATGAATAAGTTCTGAGGCATGAGGAAAGCTGGCCGTCCTTACCGAGGTAGACAAAGTTCTTGTAGTTCTCCAACATCACATCCCTGAATAGGTTCTTCTGGGAAGAGTTCAGTTGGCCCCATTCTTCCTGGGTGAATTCTACAGCCACATCCTTGAATGTCAATGGTTCCTGAAACAAAAACTCTTGGTTCAGCCCAGGATCATCTCTCACACGGACAGTGGGTGGGGCATGGAATGGATGGAATACAGAGAGTTGTATCACTGAGGGTTTTGAGTATCTCATGTCGAGTATTAGAACAGTAATACTATGTGCCTCACTTGAACTAACCTCTCTGTAACCTGTGGTAAAATAAACACTTGACTTTAATTCACTTTTAGCCTCATAGCTTATTTCCTCAAGTGAGGCCCAATCTAGACTTTACTGATCAACATAGCCAAAATGCATTTTAGATAAATAACACACACTTAAACTTCAAATACTAATCTCTAGCCAAACACATCATGTTGGTTAAATTTTGGGCAGGATGCAGAGCACAAACAGAGCACAAAGGCGTCCAAAGTTCCCACCTCCAGCTACAGATGTGACCCTAATCCCTCTTCCAAAACACTATTTCCTCTATTCCAGCTAATGACAGGGCAAAATTCCCCAGCCCCTGCTCAAATGACTTCCTTAAACATTTATCAGTAAGCATTTCCTATGTGGAAAGCATACTAGATCTTAAAAATGATGAAGTACCAACTTGTTCCCATTCTCATGTAGCTGATAATCAAGTAGGAGGGAATGGCATATTACGAAATAATGACATATAAAATCAGACAAGTGGAAAAGAAACATACAAAATAAGTATTTTGGGAGTGGGGAAGAGGGAATGAAAGAAGGTTTTATGGAAGAGATGACATCTGTGCTTTAAAGGGCAGCCACTATTATAAAGGTGGAAAGGAAAGTGGCAAAAGCAAGAAAGGAATAAGGAAGCATGAGTGAAGATCACGGGCAGCACAGTGTGGCAGACTTCCAAGCAGGCCATACAGTTTGGTTTTGTTAGAACCTAGTAAGTCTAATTTAGTCAGAGTTTTCTTTGAGAGAAGGTTGTATGGCAAAAGGAAAACGGAATTGTGATAAGAAAAGAGAATGGAAGTCAGGTGTGGCTGTCCAAGTGCTGACGAGGAGCAGCTCACAAATGAGGAGTTTGCCAACTCAGGAGCTGAAAGCCCATACAAGCAATTGCTAAACCAGTCTCAGTGTGACTTAGTAGCATAAAGGGAAAATCAACAGGACTCGGGATCCCACTCCCAGAATGGAAGGAAAGCGAGCTGAATTCTGCAGGGGCTGCAACCAAGTCTGCGATGTTTGTATTTCTGCCAAGGCCTAGTGACTCCTGCTTACGTTCCAAGTGCAGGATGGTCTTCCTTCTAGAAGGAAGAACAAAGGGGCCTAGGGAATGACTCTGACCTGTCTAAATTATAAGGAAGGATGATGTATTCCTGAAAAAAAGTTGGAAGGGCTTCAGCATGAAAACAATAAAAGAAAAAGGATCTTAAGAGGCAGAGGAGAATCCTGAGTCTGTATGAGGAGGCTGGAGAATAGAAAAATGTCACAGAAAGGGCAAAAGGAGAATCACTAAATACTTGGAGCTGAAAAACAGACGTGAGGATCTTCACAGACAACAGTGAGTTACACATTTTAAAGAAAAGTCAGCAGCTTATCCTCCAAGGAAATGATGTAGCTCTTAAGTAAGAATTCATCCAGGAAGGATCAGAGGAAGAAGAGAAGGTCAGTGGTGGCTGGTGACTCCCTGCTGAGGAGAACCAAGGCAGATGATAACAACAGAGAGGCCTGTTTTCTTCCTCCCCAAAACGGACAAACCGGATGATTTCCACCCACTTATGTTGATTCATGAGGACTTAAATACTATTGCCAGAAGTAATATGGAGAGCATCACTGAAGATTACCAAGTCTTAGAAAAGAAATGGAAATGAAGGTGACTGTAATATGTATTTTTTAATTTCTTTTATTAAAAGACAGCTAAGTGGTACAGTGGATAGAGCACTGGGCATGGGCATGGACATGACAAGTCATTTCACCTCTATTTGCCTCCATTTCCTCAACTTAAAACAGGGATAATAACAGCAGCTACCTCCCAGGGTGGTGAGGATCAAATAAGATGATATTTGGAAAGTACTTAGCACCATGCCTAGCATGTACTTGGTAATAATGATGATGACAATGATGATGATAATCTGTCCCACCATCTCCTCGCTCCCCTCAATAGTGCAACTTCAAGAAAGGGAAAAACAAACAGACAAACAAAGCCCTCAATACATAGATGCATGGTTGGTCAAAACAAATTCCCATATTGTCCACGTCCAAACACGTAGGTCTCTTACTGCACTTAAGTTCACCTCTCTGATAGGAGATGAATAGGTGTTTCACCTTTGCTTTATAGACTGGCAGTTCACCACTGCACTGATCTAAAGTTTTTCAAAGTTTTTTTCTTCTTAATGTTATCATTACTTCATCAAAGTCTTCCCAGTTTCCTGGGAAACTGTCTATTTCATAATTTCTTCTGGCATAATAAATACGCCATTACATTCACATACCAGTTTGTTTAGTGGTTCTCCACCAGGACATCCTCTTGGTTTACAATTTTTGGCTACCACAAAAAAGAGCTACTAGAAATATTTTTTCTTAACATATGAGTCATGTTCCTCTTTCTCTGATTTCTTTCGTGTATAGACCTAGTACTTACTAGCTGGGCTAAAGGTTATAACAGTTTAGTAACTTGGGCACAATTCCAAACCAAGGGTCTTTAACCTAAGGTTTGTGAACTTAAAAAACAATTTATACAACTGTATTTCAATATAATTGGTTTCCTTTGTAAGCAGGAAGTAGAATTCTAGGTATGAAGGACAGCAAATGAAGTCTGGAAGCTGGGAGATGGGAGATGGATTATCTTATGTGAGGAACCTAAAGGAGACCAGTATCACAGGATCACAGAATACCTAGGGGGTAATAAGGAGACTGGAAAGGTAGGGGCCAGGTTATGAAAGCTTTGGAAAGCCAAAGAGAGGATTGTATATTTGATTCTAGGGATACCAGGGAGCCGGTGGAGTTGATCAGACTTGAGCTTTAGGAAGACCGCTTTGATAGCAGAGTGGAGGATGAAGGGAGAGGCAGAAGACCAAACCACAGCCCACTGCAGCAGTCTAGGCATGAGGTAATGAGGGCCTGCTCTAGGTAGCGGCGGTGTTAGAAGAGAGAAGGGGGAATATATAAGAGATTTTTGCCAAGGTAGAATCGACAGATCATGGCCAGATATTGGATAAGGGGACGTTGAGAGTGAGGAGTCAGGGATGACATCTAGATTGGTAGTTTGAGTGACTGGGACAATAATGGTGCCCTCAAAAATAATAGGAAAGTTAAGAATAGGGGAGGGTTTGGAGGTAAGATGATGAGTTCATACTCAGTTAGAGATGTCTACCAGGGAGTTGTGCATGTAAGATGGGAGGTTAGGGCTGGACAAATAGATCTGATCCAAAGCAATTTGGATTTTGAAAGAAAAAAAAGTTAACTAGAAAGCAACCTGGAACTATGCCCACAAAGTTTAAACTAATGCATCATGTAGTATGTTAGTGCCTGTTCTAATACCTACTTCCCTAATTTCCTTTTTACATCCTTTCTTCCTAATAGTTTTGTGGATTTGGAGCCTTTTGGGGGGGCAATATTATCATTTGTATTATATTGACACAGCCCAACCATAAGCAATTAATATCTTTTCAGTTATGAAGGTCTGTAAAAGAGGGTTCTGTAGTTGTATAATTCCATAAAATATAATGTATCAATAGCTGAATTCTTAAATATTTTATGCTTTCTATAATTATCTTTTTAATTAAAATTTATTTTCAATGTACAAAAATTCTTCCCCCTACCCCTCTAGGTCTGGAACTTTCGGTGGGAAGAGGGTATTTACAAAGGAAAAGAATACACAGAAATTCAGAAAAAATGTACTCATGGTATTAGGTAATTACAAGTACCTATAAAGAAAATTATTTAGTTCTGAACTACTTGGCTTAGGCACAATCAGGAGGAATGAAGCTAGGTCTAGGGAACTGTAATTAGAGAGATCAGTTTAGGAATAAGAGGGGCAGTATCGGCAAAGCCAGTAATAATGATATCATTATTATTATTATCATTAACCACTATCATTTGTCTTGGGCTTGAAGGCCAAGTCAGTGAATCAGAAAGCATTTATCAAGGACTTACTGTGTGCCAGATACCGTACTGAACACTGAGGATACAAACAAGGTACGAACAATCCCTTTATCACATTCTAATGGGGGTGAGAACATGTAAATGACTAGGTGCAGAGGAGATACAGAGAGAGTAGATGAGGGAAAGGCAGCTGGCGGACCTATGAAAGGTGAGATTTCAGGTGAATCTAGAAGGAAGCCAGGAAGACTAACAGGCAGAGGTGACAGGACGACCAGAACAAAAGCACGTGTCTGAGGAAATCTAAGCAGGCCAGGGTAGACAGACTGTGGGATGTGTGGAGGGGAGCAAAGACTCAAAAGGTAGGAAGGGACCCAGACAGTGAGAGCTTTAAATGTTTACAAACAGTATCTCATTTGATCCCCACAACAATTTTAAGGAAGGTCCACTTTATAGCTGATAAAACTGGGGAGGGGTTAAGCGACTTGCCCCCTGTCACCTGTCCCTATAGGAATGATGGCAGCTGAGATTCAAACCCAAGCGGCTCCTGCCCACCTGGCCCAGCAAGCTCCACAGCAGATCTGAGACTGGCATCTCTACAATTGGTGGGGCGTTCCTGGGGAAGTTCATCTGCTCATCTTCAGAGCTCCCACCCTAGGGCCCAAACCAAATGACTGTGTACGAGTCTAAGCAAACCAGCCCACTCTAAGGGCTGGCGACGTCGTTCAAATGCCAAACGTACCCTTGCCTAAGAGACTCTTCTATGGAGAACTCACACAACGTAAGCACTCACATGGTGATCAGAAGAAGTGACACAAGGATGCTCTCAAGGCCTCTCTTAAGAACTTTGGAGTTAATTGTGGGACGTGGGAGACCACGGGCACAGCACCGCTTAGAACGGCGTGCCCTCATCAGAGAAGGTGCTGTGCGTTATGAGCAAAGCACGACTGCGGCAGCTCAAAAGAAACTCAAGATGCGCAAAATTAAAGAATCCCACCCCAATGTTCACATGGATTATCTGTGCTTGACCTGATCAGCCATTGTAGGACACACGGTAACTTGGCTCTAACAAAGCAATGTCATTTTTGGTTCTCTTTGACAATGGAGGACACCACCATACTGTGCTCATTCTTCAGGGCCAGATGAAGAAACTGAGGCAGGCAGGGTTAAGTGACTTGCCTAGGGTCACAGAGCTAGCAAGCGTCTGCACCTGGATTTGAACTCCACTGTGCCACCTAGCTTCACTGATTACACCAACCCAAACTAAGAGCTCCTCCCCAGTACTCAAAGCACTTGTCTGTTCTGCTGCTTTTGTCCCTCAGTTATCAAATGCTTGACATGTGCCAGGCACTAAGCTAAGCAGTGGGGATACAAACCAAGGAAGGAAAATGTCCCTGCCCTCAAGGACCTTCCCAAAAGAGATCCCAGGTGATGTGGGGGACAAGGGCACCAACCAACCCACGGAGCAAGATCGGGCAAGATTTGACACAGAGGGTGGCACTACTGCCAGTCTTGGAGTAAAGAGCCAGAGAAGGAAGGGGGAGCAGAAGAGTTTGTGCCAGGCACAAGGAAATGGGGGACGGAGGGCCGTGAGTGAGGCCCAGTCCCAGGCCATGCTGACTGAACAGGGCTGGAGAACCTGCGGCCCTCTAGATCCTCAAGCGCAGCCCTTGTCCAGGGCCCTACCGAGAGGGTCCCATGTGCCTCGAGGCCCCAGGTTCCCCACCCCTGGACTGGACTATGGCATGGAGGGAGGGGAGAGTGACATGAAATAATGCTGCAAAGCCAGCTCGGGCCCTGGTCACGAAGGCCTTTCCGTGCCCTCCGAGGGGTTTCTGTCTGCTCCTCCAGCTCAGAGAAGCCGTGGTCACAAACGCACTTGGTGCAATCACACTGCTATCAGACAAATCCACGCAGAGAGAGCCTTCTTTCTCTCCTCTTTGTCTTGTCTCCCATCAATCGTCTCGGAGCACCGAGACTGGGTCCTGGGCTCCTCTGTTCCACAGGACTTAACTCAGTCTCGAGCACACAGAGGTCTGAATACATGATGATAATGTTTAACATTTATATGTCATTTTAAAGTTTGCTAAGCAGTTTACAAATATCCTCTCATTTGATCTCCACAACAACACTGGGAAATAGGTGCTGTGACTATCTCCATTTTACAGATGAGAAAACAAAGGCAGACAGAGGTTAAATGACTTGCCCAGGGTCACACAGCTAGGAAGAGTCTGAAGCAGGATTTGAACTGAGATATTTCTGCCTCCGAGTTTAGCACTCTATCTTCTGGGCCTTTTCTGAGTTTGCCATCCTTACGTAGGTGAATGACAGGGTGGGAAGGGAGGGATTCTAAAGGAGAATATTCGCTAAGGGGGAACCTTCTGTCTAAATTTACAAAGCCTGGCTGAAAAAGTACAAGCAGCCTAGGTATGAGACCCTTTCTGCCACTCCTAGGCCTGGCCCTAGCACCTCATTCTCTGGGAATCAGTCTCCTTTGGGGCCAAATGAGGGAGCTGAAGAGATGATTTCTAATGATCTACAGGCTCTAAGAAGCATGTCATCTGTCAGAACAGGTCAGGGCTTTGAAAAGAGAGCAGCTCCTCGGGCTTGGGCCCAGAAGGGGACGTGGCCAGGGAGAAAGGAAGGACAAGGGAAAGATGTGCCCACACACGTTGGGAGAAAGGCGACAAACAACTCACCTGGAACCTGGCCAGGCCACCTTCCTCTTCCTCCTCCTCGTCTGCACTTTCTCTGGGAAGGCCGGGGTCTTGAAAAGACCGTGCTACAGAAGAAAAAGGAGCCATGAGGGACATGCTGTAGGGCGGAAATCCCTAGAAAACAGCCCACGGTCAACAGGGAAGCCAGCTGCGTCCTGGGATCGAGGGGGAAGCACGCCAGCAGGAACAGGTTCCAAGTTTATCAGGACCCATCAGTGGAATTCACAGCTCTCTGTCCACAGTCCTGGCACACAGCAGGCCTTCTGAGTGATCAGCTTTAAGATCAGACAGGCGGTGGTGTGGTGGCAAGGGCCCAGAACCAGGACTCCGCAGATCCGGATTCTAGCCCGGTTCTGCTAGTGACCAGAGGACCGTCAGCAAGACACTTGTCATCCAAGCCTCAATTTCCACAACTGTAAAAAACAGAATGACAAAGACTGACTGCCCTTCCTGAGGCCCAAATGAGATAATACAAATGGAAGCATTCTGACAAGTGAAAACACCACCACAATCACCCTAACTGAAGGGCTCTGGAGGGAGGCTGGAGCAACGTTCTACTTGCCCTAGAAAAATGGGGGGGTCAGAGAGTGGGCCTTTCTGACCCTGCCAGAGGCAAGTGCCTGAGCAGGGCCCCTACTCGAGGCGGAAGGCTCCCAGCAGGGCCCAGGCACATCCCAGGCAGGCTGGAGGCAGGGATGGAGAATCTGTGCTCCAGAGCTCCTTCCCGACATGCCCACCCACTGGGACGTACCAACAGGGGCCTTGGGACACTGGCAGAAGGTAAAGCCTCCCAGGGGTGTCAGCAGCCTGACTCCTTATGTCAAGAGCCGATTCTTTTAAAGCTTCTGGGCTTTTGGGGGTGGAGGTAGGGGGAAGTCCAGACCAGCGATTGTATCAGTGTGGGTGACTGATTCCCAGAATGGAGATGCCCTATATCAAGCCAGGTGGACACCCCACACGTGCCTACTGTTGCCTGGAGTACTGAGGGCATTGCCCCCATGTCCTTCCAATATACTGCAGGGGCAGATAGCCACTAGAGACCGTGCCTGGGAGGAGCTGAGCCCCTGTGCTCTGCACTCCACGCACCCTCATCTTCATCCCACTCAGCGGTGGGGTGAAGAGTGCTGAACTTGGACTCAAGAAGACTTGATTGCACATCCTGTCCCAGATTCCTACTAGTTACGTGACCTTGGGTAAGTCACTGAAAAAAGTCTCTGCCTCAGTGTCCTCATCTGTAAAACAGAGATGATAAGAACAGCACCTACTTCACAAGGTCGCTAGAAGCTCAGATGAGATAATATGTGTAAAGTGCTTTGCCACATTGAAAGTTCCCTATTAATATCAGTGATTATTAATTTCTTATAAAGATCAGACTCCGATCAAAGACCTTGATCTTGTTCATCTTCAAAGTTTTAAAATGTTACCTAATTTAACTTGTCTATCTTTTGTGATTACTTGTCTCCTCCGGACAAGAACTTTCCCTCGGCGTTGATGCAAAAGGCCCCTGTCCCGTATCCCCCGGCTGCAGGGTCAGAAGGCCCAGCGGAACCAGCAGCTCCGGGTTGGCTGGTTCACTTCAGTCCCCGCTCAAACGTCCTGATGAAGTCTCAGAGAAGACACAGCCTCCTCCGACGACAGAATCCTGTTCCCCAGAGGGCTCCTGCCCACCTTCAGGTGGGGTGGGAGGATCAAAATGAGATCCGTGGCCTTGCTCTTTTCTAAGCGGTCTGATGGGGCGCTCTTCTGGATTCCATTTGCACACCCATTTTGGGTCTCCTGAAGCATAAGGGTGGTGCAAGATTTTGGTCTAAACCTAATTTCTGCCTGAATGCTTTCTTGGTCTGTTCCAGCAAACGCGCACCCACGATCTGGATGGAGACGTGAGTGGCATGCTTTATGTCAGATGGATGGACGATACCAAGCGAGAGGGGCTGCTACTAACACCGAAGAACCAGAATCCCCAAAGGACCTGGGCACACTAGAACAAATGGCCAAATTCAAGGAGAGAAAATTAAGTGGGGATAAAAGGAAGAGCCACACCTGGGTTCCAACAGTCATCCTCAAAGCTACCGCCTGGGGGAGACGACACAAAGGAAGAGTATCATTCAAAGATGTGGGCTCTGAGTAGGCTGCAAGCTCACAGGGAGAAGACCCCCTTTGTTCCTGCGGCACAAGGGGCAGGTCATTGTATTTCCTTTCACTCTTTCTTACTACTTTAGTAAAAAATTCTTTTAAAAATGTCAATCTTGATCCACCGAACTAAGAGAGAAAAGGCTCTCCGATGGCATGAAAACAAATCCTTGGGCAGGCCAGAGATGGGGAACACAGCCCAGAAGGGCCAGTGGAACTGGACCTGAGATGTGTGTATGCTGGGAGCAGCTGGGAAGAGAAACAGAGCCGAGGTCATGAGAGATGCCAATCCGGTCCTGCTGCCGACCCGCCTCCCCACCGGTGGGCTTTCCTTTTCCCCCACACGATATAGACTCCCCCACCCTCAGACCTGTGCAATTCTCACCTCTCTCTTCAATCACGAGAGCCAAGTTCTCCATGGTCATCCCTTCCTTGAGGATTCGATTTTACCGGAGTCCCCAGGCTGCAGGGTCAGAAGGCCCAGCAGAACCAGCAGCTCCAGGATTTGCTCGGTCACCTTAGTCTCTGCTTAAACGTCCTGATGAAGTCTCAGAGAAGACACAGCCTCCTCCTACGACAGAATCCTGTTCCCCAGAGGGCTCTTGCCTACCTTCAGGTGGAGTGGGAGGATCAAACGCAAGGCCTTGACTCTGTCTTCCCAGCCGTGAGTTACTGCAGACTCTACCAAAGGGCTGTCGGGGCCGGAGACAGGCCGGAGTGAGCAGGAAGGATCTGCAGCTTCAGTCGCGCACTCCAACCCAAGGCACTGCCAATGTGGCCAGAGGCCCTGAAAATACAAATGGGGCTATGCTGAGTTTCATTGATCCAACAATCATTCGACAAAGACTTAAAGCAAACCTATTATGTGCCAGATCTAACATAAGTGCAGAAAATTTAGTGCAAGGATCAGCAAAGCTCACTTTGAGAGTCAGAAGCAGTTCTTTAAATACATATATTTAGCTCTGGGTCAAAATAACACCGGCACAACGTTTATAGGTGCATGTCACCAGGCACACACACGATATTTGAACCACACACGATTTCATCGCTGTGGGTATACCCCCATCGATGCAGATGACAGCCCTTTGCTTTAGAAAATCTCTATTAGCTTCAATCGGTTTAATGATCATCTCTACACTGGTGACACTAAGAGGTCTGTGTCTAGCCCCAGGCTTCCTCTTGATCTATCACAACTGTCCGTTGGAATTTTCACTGAATGTCTTAAACAAGCTTCCAACTCAGAATATCCAAAATACAGGTTCCTTTTTCTCCCCAAACCAACTCTTTTCCCCATCTCCCCTAGCTCTGTGGAAGCCACCTTCCACCATCTTCTAGCCAACTGAGTTCACAACCTTGGGATATCTTTGATCAGCTGCCAATCATGTTGTTTCTACCTCCACATCCCTGCATATTTTCCTCTCCCTATTCAAACAGCTAACATCCCAGGGGTAGTGAACGGGCCTTCCCCTTGACCCTTCCTACTTTCCAGTCTATTTACACTTGACCTCTCCACAAATTCTTCAATCCAATGAGGGAGATCTTTGCTATTCTTCAAACAGACATTCCACCCCTCTACTCTTAAAAAGTTTTCATTGGCTGTCTCCCTTGCCTGGAACGTTCATCCTCCTCATCTCCATTTTCTGGCTTCCTTCAAGTCCCCACTAAAATCCCACTTTGTACAAGAAGTCCTTCCTGGTGCCCTCCTTAGTACTAGAGCCTTTTCGGCTGTCGTCCCCATTCGACCGTGAGCTCCTTGACGTCAGGGGCTGTTCTTTTGCCTTTCTTTGTCTCCACGGTGCCTGGCACACAATAACTGCTTGCTGACTGACTAGTTCAGGCTCTCAACACCTATCATCTAGAGAGTGGTCAGAGCTTTGATTTTATCATGGCCCCCACCTCCTCATCCATATTCTTGAACTCCCAATCACCTTTATCTCACTTCAGCCTTTTACCGTTCCATCTTTCCCTCTGACTTAATGACCACTTACCCTTTTCTGTGTCCTCACGGTGACCTCCAATCCCTCCAACTCTTAGTTCTTCCACAAAACAATGCCAACTAGGTCTACTACAAATTTTTATTAGGTAATCTTAACTGGGCCCTCTCTGCAGCAAGGCAGTCTTTTTATACCTTCCTAATGTCCCTCTCTCCACAGTGGCCTATCCAAACTTTGGCCACCTCAAGCTTCCTATGGCACCCCTCCTCCTACCTTCTCAGCCAAGGACCTTGCTACAAACCTCACTGAAAAAATGAAGGCCATTAAACTGGAGCTTCCTCTCCTTCCCTCCTCATCACATACCCCTCAGACATCTTCTATCCTTTCCTCCTTCATTCTTGTGTAGCCCTTATCCTAGCCAAGGCGGACCTTTTTTTTTAATAATTAACTTATTTGTAGTTTTCAACATTCACTTCCATAAGATTTTGAGTTTTAAATTTTCTCCCTCTCCCACCTCTCCCCCTGCCACGATGGTGTACAATCTGATATAGGCTCTACATATACATTCATGTTAAGCATATTTTCCCATTAGTCATAATGTAAAGAACAATTAGAACTAATGGGAGGAACCACAAGAATGAAGCAATAAGACAAAACCGCAAAGGAAAATGAGAGCAAATAGCAGGCTTCTATCTGCATTCAGACGCCACAGTTCTTTCTCCAGGGATGAGTCTTCTGGAGTTGTCTTAGATCCTTGCATTGCTGCGAAAAGCCAAGTCTATCAAAGTCAGTGATCCCATAATATGACTGTTACTGTGTACAATGTTCTCCTGGTTCTGCTCACTTCACTCTGCATCAGTTCATCTAAGTCTTTCAAGGCAGACCTCTTTACATGAACTTTAACAACACTCTATCCCATCTGCTCCAGCAGAGAGCCCCTAGATCAGGGGTGGGAAACCTTCGGCTTCCAGGCCACATGTGACCCTCTACGTTCCTCGGTGCGGCCTGTTGACTGAGTCCAAGTTTTACAGAACAAATCCTTTTATTAAGGGGATTTGTTCTGTAAAGGTTGGATTCAAAGGGCTGAACTTGAGGGCCACAAGGGTGCAGGTTCCCTACTCCTGTGCTAGATTATCCCCATTCTCTTATCTTTAACTTCTCATCTACTTGCACCTACCCTACTACCTACAAACACACTCATTTCTCCCTGATCCAAAAAATCCTTCCCTGATCTTACCATCAAGGCTAGCTGTCATCTCTTATCTCCTCTTCTCAGTCAGTCAGTAAACATTTATCAAGCACCTACTATGTGCCAAACACTGTGTTAAATCTTGGGGACAGAAAGAAAGGGAAAGGACAGTCCCTGCTCACAGTCTAAAGGAGTAAACAGCATGTGAAAGAACTATGTACAAACAAGTAACATACAGGATAACCTGGAGCTATTCAACTGAGCGAAGGCACTAGAATTAAGGAGGATAGGGAAAGCTTCTTCTAGATAGCAGGATTTTACCTGGGACATGAAGGAAGCCAGGAGGTGGAGGTTTGGAGGCAGAGAAGAGGGGACGAGGAGCCAGTGAAAACACCCTGAGTCAGGAAATAAAGAGTTTCATGAAGGACCAGTAAGAAGGTCACTAAGGTGCAGAGTGCATGGGGGAGGAGGAGGTATTTGAGTGTAGGTCAATTAAACTGGAGATCCTATCTATCCTCTAATCCTTGGCAATATGGCTTCCAACCTCTTCATTCAACTAAAACTGCCCTCTCCAAAGCTACCAATGATCCTAACTGCCAAATCTAATAGTCTTTCTCAGTCCTCAACTTTGACCCATTTACTGCATTTGACACTGTCCCTTACCCCCTCTCCTCTCTAGGGTTTTATGACACGGCTCTCTCCTAGTTCTCCTCTCTCCTCTGAATGCTCTGTCTCAGGCAGCTTTGCTGAGTCTTCATCCTGGGTCCGTTGTGGGGACCTAGGCTCTGTCCTAGGCCCTCTTCTCTTTCCATACTAACTCACTTGGTGATTTCATCAGTTCCCACGGATTGAATCTCTACACAGATGATTCCCATACCACACATTCAGTTCTAACCTCTCTCCTGAACTCCAATCTTGCATCATCTACTGGCTTTTGGACACCTCAAGCTGACCATCCCTTAAGTATCTCAAAATTTTTTTTTTCTATTTGGTGAGGCAATCAGGATTAAGTGACTTGCCCAAGGTCACACAGCTAGTAAGTGTCACGTGTCTGAGGCTGGATTTGAACTCAGGTCCTCCTGACTCTAAAGCTCCATCCACTTCTCCACCTAGCTGCCCCTTAAGCACCTCAAATTTAAGGAGCCTAAAATAGAATTCCTCCTCTCTGCTCCCAACCCTGAAATCTTTTCTTTTCATTTTCCTATTACTGTCCAGGGCTTCCTCCCAGGACCCCAGGTTCACAACCTTGGTATCATCCTTGATTATTTTCTCACACTTACTACACATAAACAATCTGTAGCTAAAGTTGTTCCTACCTTTGCAACGTCTCCTTTATGTCCCCTTCCTTCTACTCACACAACCCCTACCTTGTGAAGGTTCTTATCACCTCACTTCTAGACCACTGCAACAGCCTTCTGCTTGACCTCCATTCCTTCTCCCCTCAACCTACTCCAGTACCTCCAGAATCAAATCTAAAACCCTGATCAGCATTTAAAACCCTCCTCTCTTTACATGCTATCTCATTTGGTGATCTCATCAGCTCTCATGGATTTTATTTACTAAAAATTAAATGTAAACAGAAATTGAATTATAATTTAAAATTTTAATTATAAATGGAAACATTCTCTTCTGTAATATTAATTATATATGTACATATATGTATATCAGGAAAGGTTATATGTATGATATACAATTATAAGCATTATATATTATACACATATACTTAAATATAAATTACATATGTATACATGTATTTGTATGTATGTATAGGCATTATACAGACACACACATAAACATACATATACATACGTATTGTACACATGCCCTTTCTTCAGCGACTTGGCTGCTAGTACCTTCTCCTTAAAACAATCTTGCATTCAGATGTATGTTGTTTCCCTTACTAGATTGTAATCTCCTCAGGCAGTGCTTATCTTGCTTGTGTCTGCGTATCTTCAATGCCTAAGTATAGCAGGAGCTTAATAAATAAGCTAGTAGCCAGTCAAGAGTCAGGTCATAAGTCCTTTGAATAACTGACAAAAGGCACTGCCAAGTGCAAGAGGGGGCCTTTCTAGCTTTGCCCGGCCTCCCAAAGTTCCAGGGACAAGATCTTTGAGAACACTGAGTCATAGCAGAATGAGGCACCAAATAGGGAATTTAATTATAAACAAAAAGTATCTTCTCTACCATTAAATATATATATATATATATACACACACATATATACAAATATGTATACATACATATATTCATAATGTGTTTTTAATTTAAAAACTTTTTGTTGTTGTTCAGACCAGTGATTTCATCAATGTGGTGAAATTCTGGTGTGGACACTCTCCTCATTAATGCAGACAGCCAACTTGTTTATCCTTGTCTAAGAGAGTTGCCTAGGGCACTGAAAGGTCAGAAAACCTGCCCAGCGCCAGTATGGACCAGAGGCAGACTTTGAACCCAAGTCTTTCTGATGTTAAAACCATCCGTCTACTCAATACTCAACACTGCATTTTATCAATGTCCGTTCTCCAATAGAGTCTTACTTGGGTGCCAGTAGGATGCATACTCTGATAGAGAAGTCCGATCAGACAAGAAAGGCTTCAAATCTGGAGCCCATTATAGAGAAATTTGGAGACTTTGTCTCCCAATTATTATGGGGGGGGACAGT